CGCTCACATGTTCACACACACACACACACACACACACACACACACACACAAACGAATACACAACACTGTGTTCGGCTGAACCAGTAGGTAACTTGGCCCGGCAGAGAAAACCTCGCCAAAGAACTGGTCGAATTTTTGTCTGAATCCAAAGCATGCCAACTCGCCGGGATTACCGTGACTACGCGGGATAGGGGCTTAAAGAGAGAGAATAACGATTTGTCCTGATCCAGTAGCCTAGCCACTTTTCCCTGAACCAGGTCAGTATCCAGTCCCAAGAACGAAAAGGTTACGCATCTAAGGTTTTTGGTGCTAAATCACAAGTTTGTTTTTTTTGGTAGCCTCTGCTGCTTCTGACCAAACCTACAGAGGCTGAGTTACAACGAACGTCCGCTCTAGGCCGGTTTGATGAATCCCGTAGACAGAAGAGTTGGTTGTCAAGGCAACTTGTGATCGACAAGGATCTGAGGCTACTTCCGATCCAAGAGAAAGTGTGTAATGAAGCGATGGGACTTTGGTTCCAACCAGAAGGTGACCCGGCTAGTTCCAATTACGATCATACTTTCCGTAAGTCTAAGCTGATGTGAGTAGACAAGAAGAAGATCTTGGATACGAGCATTGGCCAACCTATTGCGTTTTCCAACAGTGTCGTGATGCCAGTGAATTTCACTTGGCCCTGCCTCTCAAAAAGTGTTCCAATGCCGGCTGGACTGGACAACGGCTTGCACTTCGCCCCAACTCGTCACATCATCTCGCCAACGGGAGCCGAATTCGGGTGGTACAGAAAGGGCCAGACAGGCCCTGAAATTCACCTCGGCCCTGTTGCCCACCGGCGCCCGCGGCAGTGTGCTTCCTGGTGCTGGTGTGTCGAAAGTATATACTGCACCGACAGGGTTCGAGTCCCGTTTGAGGCCAGTTCAGGCGAGACCGAAGCTGCGGACTAGTCCGGCTGGAGTGAGAATACATTTTGGGCACTCGTAGCTGAGTGGCGCAATTTTAACGCGTCGAAACCATACACGGCACTATCGCAAGCTGAATTCGAGTCCCGCTGATAGAGCTGATGATGATGATGATGATGGTGATGATGATGATG